ACCTTCAAAAACGGTGCCCATCAGTGCTCTGCTCACATGAAGCTGCCTGCTACTGAATCAGGCCCTTGATATCCCCTGCTTGGGCTGGCAGTGGCTCTTTGGGGTCCCAGGCTGGGAAAAGTCTTTCACATCACCTGTGCCAGACCCGTTCACTGGAGATACTGGGGACTGAACCTGGAACCCTTCTGCATGCCATGGAGATGCTTTACCAGGGATCCATGGTCTCCCAAGTTGTGGCAGCCAGTTGAACTGCTCTTGCGTTCCCTGTCCGCCAGTCCCTTAATACACATCAGAAAATCCCACCGTTGTTTTTTTTAAATTGAGACACAAAAGTCTACTGCCTTAGACTTCCCTGCCCGCTACAGATATGAGCAATCTCTTTATTTGTCCCCCAGGCTGGGAAAAGTCTTTCACATCACCTGTGCCAGACCCGTTCACTGGAGATACTGGGGACTGAACCTGGAACCCTTCTGCATGCCATGGAGATGCTTTACCAGGGATCCATGGTCTCCCAAGCTGTGGCAGCCAGTTGAACTGCTCTTGTGTTCCCTGTCCGCCAGTCCCTTAATACACATCAGAAAATCCCACCGTTTTTTTTTTAAATTGAGACACAAAAGTCTCCCTCGTCCACTGCCTTAGACAGATATGAGCAATCTCTTTATTTGTCCTGATTAACTTTCAGTCCTAGCATCTTTATGTTTCACCCTGTGCTTTATACAGAGTGTTGGACTGGATGGGCCTTTGGCCTGATCCAACATTGGCATCTCTTATGTTCTTATGTTCTAAGCTTTGGAGTCTTGTGAGCAAAAATTCTACTTTGTGAGCGATTGGCATGAAAGTTGTGAGCGAGCCATTTGGCTCCTGCATCAGTTAGTTGGCTCTGGAGCCCCATCCTTCCTGAACTAAGACAAAAATGTGTGAGCTGGAGGCTAAAAAACTGAGCCGGCTCACACTAACTCAGCTTAGAGGGATCTCTGGTCTGTAGGCCACGACAGCTCCCTTTCCGGAATCAAACTTTTAAAAATCTTCTTTGTTTACGCTTCAGTATGGCTTGGCGCAACCGGCGGCACATTCCGCAGCCCTCCTTTTCGACCATATACGGTAAGGGACTTCCACGGCTGCCCGCCTCCTGCTCTTTCCCCGACCAGTATGGGAGCTCTATGCAAATGAGAGACCGCAAAGCAACGTGGGAAATCAACTGGCTCGCTCAATGTTTCGAGCGCAGAAAATATGCGGGGGCTTTTTTTAGTAGCGAGTGTGCAGCTGCAGAGGGGAAATCCGCTCTGTGGGCAAGAGCGAGCGCGAACAGGTAACGGGGTTCAGACGGCCCCCACCATGACCTGGAGGATGGGGCCTCGACCGGTGGTTCCGGCGTCGCTCTCGCTTTAGTATCGTCAGTGAGGTATATCCTTACCTGTTCCTCCTCCGGGAGAACAGCACATGATGAATGGAGGTGCATGAGACATGATTAAAGTCTCCCCCGGCCGAGGAACTGCAACACCTCGGCCGGCTCCTTTCTGATCGCCACTGACGACCCTTTTAAATACCTTTTTTTAAAATAAATTTAAATTGCTGCTCTTTTTGCCTCTGATTTTTCTATCACATCCCCCCCCCTTATTATTATTATGAGCTTTCATAAGAAACTTTGGCTTCGTAGAATTTCCAGTTTAATACGTTTGCAGCTGATTCTTCCAGGGAGGCTTTGAAACCTTCGGAACGTTGTAAACAATCGGAGCTGTCGCGGCTCTTCCCCTTTATTCTCTCGTTGGCTAGAATTAACCCTTCATGGAGCTGCGGTGGCTCAAGACGCTGAACTGCAGGCTGTGGCAAGTCGGTAGTTCGGCAGTTCGAGACCCGGGTGCGCCGCATGACGGAGTGAGCGCCCGTCTCTAGTTCCAGCTCCTGCCAGCCTAGCAGTTCGAAAGCAAGAAATTGCAAGTAGATAAATAGGGACCACTTCGGTGGGAAGGGAACAGCGTTCCGTGCGCCTCGGTGTTTAGTCATGCCGGCCACATGACCGCGGAAACGTCTTCGGACAGCGCTGGCTCTTCGGCTTTGAAACGGAGATGAGCACCGCAACCCTAGAGTCGGACTCGACTGGCTTTCGAGCAAGGGAGACCTTTGCCTTTTTTTAGAATCAACCTTCAGTCGTAGGAAGGGTCTGGTTGGGCATCTCCGGGCACCGGAAGCCCCCGGGCTGTGATTGGCTGCTTTTGGAAGGCGATTGTTGACATATTATCCTCCCTCCCCATTTCCCCCTAGAATGGTATTCATTTCAATTATACTGACTATTGGGAGTGTAACAACGCTTGAGTCCAGTGGCACCTTATTTATTTATTTATTTATTTAAGACAACAATTTATTCAAGGTATCCTGAGGAAGTGTACTTTGCTCACCCCTTGAATAAAGCTTGGGTCTTAAAGGTGCCACTGGACTCAGGATTTGTTCCAACCCGGCTGCCCACCTGGATCTATTGGGAGAGGGTATGCGGTATAACAGCGTTCCGTGCGCCTCGGTGTTTAGTCATGCCGGCCACATGACCACGGAAACGTCTTCGGACAGCGCTGGCTCTTCGGCTTGGAAACGGAGATGAGCACCGCAACCCCAGAGTCGGACTCGACTGGCTTTCGAGCAAGGGAGACCTTTACCTTATGCGGTGTATAGGTAACGTTTTAAAAATGTTAAAACTTATGTATTCTGCATTTATTTAAAACATATCAATGCAGATCGTTCCTGTCCCATCTACATTCTCCAGAGCCTGGATTTGGCGGCTCACAAAATGGCCGCCGCCCTCGTTCTCTGCCCTTTCGATTGGCTTCATCTGCGCAGGCGCCCTCCCCCCCCTCAAAAGCTCGAGCGCGGCCCTGCGGAGTCTGGCCAATCAGGAGCACGCTCCGGGCCGCCGTCCGAAAAACCGGCCAATCCCTGACGGAATAAAAACAAGCCCGACGTCACTTAAAGACCTTAGGACACTTGGCTCACTCGGCCACGCCCCGCTGTTTTCTATCGATCGGTAAGATGCCAATAGAAGAGGACAAGACAGAGCTCGTGAGCGGAGGGCCAATAAGAGAACGAGGCGTCACGCCCCGCCCGGAGGAGGACTGGGACTGGCCGCGCGTGCGGGAATTTCCCACCAATCAGGAAGCGCGCTTTGTCCGAGCGTTGGCGGCAGCCAATAGGCTTCGAGGAGGCAGATTTGAAAGGCGAGGTCGGGCAGTCGGAGCGGAGATCGCGGCGGGTGCGGATCGCTCTGCTGGGGCGCGGAGAAGCGGAACTGTGGAGCCGCGAATTGTTCCACGACTTTAAAGAGTAAGTGTTGCCGTTACATGGTGGATGGAGTCTTGGAAGGGAAGGATTAGGCGGCCGCTTTAAGTTAAACGGCACTCGGGGCGTTTTGAAATTCAGAAAATAGCAAAATGTTTTGAAAATATTCTGAAAAAATTCAGAAAATAGCAAAATATAACGTAGAGGGGAAAGGTCGGGTGGGACCAGGGGCTGGACTCTCTGAGGTGAAGCCAGGATATGCACAGGCTTTAGTTCTTACGTTTCAGGCTGATAATTTTTTTTTAAGCTTTTCCTACTGGCTTAAATCTTTAGGCTGGGAGGTCTTTGTTCCGGTGTTTCCCCCCCAAACGCTCCAGTATATAAAGCTAGTGCAATGAAACTTGTTCTGGTTACTGTTGCCCTGCGTTTTAGAGCATGGAAAGCGATCGTGTCTGCAGACCTTTAATGCAAAGGGCACAGGTCCACGTTGCCTGCATATCAGGCCCTTCCCTGGCATCACCTACGTCTGCGATAAAGGACACAGTCTCCCAGGGGAGGACCTAGACGCCTGTCGCAAGTAGCATGTGGTTCCGGGCGGAAGGCTGCTCACACTCACTTGGGGTTCAGTCCAGAAACTCAGAACCAATGTTCCCTCTAAGCTGAGTTAATGTGAGCTAGCTCACAGTCTTTTAGCCCCCAGCTCACACCTTTTTGTCTCAGCCCAGGAAGGAGGGCTCCAGAGCAAAGTAATTTATGCAGTAGCCAAATCACTTGCTCACACATTTAATGCCAGTAGCTCACAAAGTAGAAGTTTTGCTCACAGGGCTCCACAGCTTGGAGGGAACATTGCTCAGAACACCTGTTATTAGGATGCATAGTAGTGTTAATGTGCACTTCCCATTGGATCATATTAGGACCAGTGCTCCCTCTAAGCTGTGGAGTCTTGTGAGCAAAAATTCTACTTTGTGAGTGACTGCCATTAAAGCTGTGAGCGAGCGATTTGGCGGCTGTATAAAGTAGTTTCCTCTGGAGCCCTCCTTCCTGAGCGAAGACAAAAATGTGTGAGCTAGAGGCTAAAAAACTGTGAGCTAGCTCACACTAACTCAGTTTAGAGAGAACACTGATTGGGACCTGCTTGTTTGTAAGTGCTAATACCATTTATTTGGACAATTAATAGAGTTAATGTACTCCCCCATTGGATCACAGTAGGCTTACTTGTGAGCAGGATTGTATAGGGTTTTACACAGAACTGCATTTGATTAATTTACTAGGAGTCCTAAACTGTGGCTTTAAATTTTATTTTTTAGCGGATTGTGTCTATATCGTTCTGAAATTTTGCCATTTTTCTGTGATGATGGGGGATTTATTTTCATAGGTCGTCCAGATATCTAGCCATTTATCTTGGGTGAGACCAGTTTTGCAAATTTTCTCCCAGTGTTTTTGGTATGGCAGCGTTGTGTTTTCGTGTAATGACATTAAGATAGCATATATTTTGAATATTAGCCCTTTTATGCTTTCATCTGCATTTCTTATCAGGGCTTCAAATGGGGTTGTGGTTTTTTGTAAGATAGCTCTAAGTTTTATTTTTCAGCAAAGATGATTAATGCCAGTAGCTCACCAAGTGGAGTTTTTACTCACAAGACTCCACAGCTTGGAGGTACAGCTTGCTCACGGGATCGGCCTGTCTTTGCTTTACCTGATGTTTCATCTGCAGATCTGGAACGTGGTCTCCACTCTACGACAGGCTGAGCGATTCTCAGGACCTTGTTGCTGACTGGCCGCTGGAAACCAGGGCTGTGCCTTCTCTCCGTGGCTGTTCTCCTCCAGAGGTCTCTTGTGTGCGCGGGGGAAGGAAGCGACAGGTCCTCTGGCACTCAGGATGGCAAATAAGGAAAACGGGACTGGTAGCTGCAGCAGCCTTTCCAAAGTAAGCCAAGCTCTGTTTATTCCACTCACTATTGCCAGAAGGTGGGTTGGGTGGGTTTGTGCTTCCATTGCTGGGTGGCAAGGGGGGTGCAGAGTTCTTCTCAATCAGGCGTGCCAGTCGCCAAGGGCCGGGTGACCGTCTGCCCTCACAAGGCAGCTGGAGTCCATTATGCTACTTTCAGTGTGTCTTCTTGCCATTTATTTACGTTTCCTAATGTGTTTACAATGTTTGTCGGCTGTCTTTCTTTCTTATACAGCTCAAGGTAGCTTACAAACATAGATAAAACATGGAAATAAACTACACCAAGGTCCTGGTCACATGACAAAGTTGCCGCGGGAGAAGCACGGATGGTGGGCAGATTATCCGGGCGCGATCACACCCCAACATCTGGGAAGTGGAGCGCACCGGTGGCTCACTGCCGACAATGCCCCTTAAAAAACTAGTACCTCCAAGGTACTAGTAAACGTTTGCCACGGGCTGCCTCCAGACGCCTGTGGTGTGATTGCACCAGCGCGCAGCATTCCCCTCTGGTCCCTCGTTTACCCGCCGGGGCCGAGGGAAGGACCCGTGGTGTGCCGCCGGTGCATCTGATTGCGTAATCGCGCATCAAACTGCCGGGGCAATTAGCCACCCCCCACCCCCCCGTGCGATATCTCGCCTGTGTGACGGGGGCCTAAGAAAGTTTAAAATCACTACTTGGAGCTGCTGCTCACCTTAACCAAATGCAGTCCTCAGCTGAACAGTCGTCAGGTGCCCCTGGGGATTTAAAGTGATGGGGGGGGGACAGGGGCACCTCCCTGGGGGGGGGTTTGTTCGTACTCATGGGGCCGCCACTGAAAAGGCCCCGTCTCGTGTGCCCATCAGACAGGCTTCTTTGATTGATGAGACTGTCAAGAGAGCCCCTCCCTGTGATCTTAATTCCCAGGCAGAAACGTGTTGCTCCAAAGTACCTCTGGTTTTCCTTTCTGCCCTCCCTTTCCTGCAGTACCGGGTCGCCAGCACAACGGGCTCTCAGTGGGCTCTCGGCAAGAGCAGCTGCACCCCGGCCAGCACTCCCCTGGGGTCCCTCTTGATGCAAAGAGCCATCACCAACAGTGCGAAGAGCAACCTGAAGTCTTCTTGCAGCCGGAACACAGGTAGGAATGCATTTCGGGTCGGACTGTTTTGCGAGGTGTGTGTGGGGGTAAGGCAAAGCTCGCAACGAGCAGTTTTGCTCCAAACATACCCAGACATTCCAAACATATCGGGGAGGGGTGGTGGTGGCTCAGTGGTAGAGCACCTGATTGGCATGCAGAAGGTCGCAGGTTCAATCCCCGGCCTTTCCAGTTGAAAGGACCAGGCGGTAGGTTGATGTGAAAGACCTTGGCCTGAGGCCCTGGAGGGCAGCTGCCAGTCAGAGTAGGCGATGCTGACTTTGAGGAACTGACAGTCTGATTCAGTAGAAGGCAGCTTAATGTGTGCGTTCCTTGGGGAGGGGCCGTGGCTCAGTGGTAGATCAACTGCTTGGCATGCAGAAGGTCCCAGGTTCAATCCCTGGCATCTCCAGTTGAAGAAGAAGAAGAGATTGGATTTATACCCCACCCTTCACTACACAAAGGAATCTCAGAGCAGCTGACAAACTCCCTTCCCCTCAACAGACACCCTGTGAGGTAGGCAGGGCTGAGAGAGCTCTGACAGGAACTGCTCTTTTTTCGAGAACAGCTCTGACAGAACTATGGCTTGTCCAAGGTCATCCAGCAGGTGCAAGTGGAGGCGTGGGAGAATCAAACCCGGTTCTCTCAGATTATAGAGTCTGCGCACTTCACCACCACACCAAACTGGTGAAAGGACCCTGTGGTAGAAGATGTGAAAGACCTCCACCTGAGACCTGGAGAGCAGCTGCCAGTCAGAGTAGACGATACTGACTTTAAGGGACTGGTGGTATGATTTAGTATAAGGCAGCCTCGCGCGTGTGTGTGTGTTCATATCCCCAGAGTAGTAGCAATGGGGGGGGGGGCTATTAACAGCGAGGCCTGCTCATTGGCCCCTCCACAGTATTACTTCAAGGCCAGAGGAGCTCTGGCTACTTCTGGAGGGGCTGAGCCAGAACCTCTGATTGGCATGGGGATGGTCCTGTGTTCCGTCCCCAGCATCTCTCATTTGAAAGGGCCAAAGAGCAGGCAATGCCTTGAGACCTTTGGCTCAAATCTTGGAGAGCTTCTGCCAGTCGGATTAGACAAGACTGAGCGTGAGGGACCCGGGGTCTGGTTTGGTAGTTGCAAAAACACATGAAACTGACTTGTCCTGAATCAGACTGTAATGATTTCATGTTTTGGTGTGTGTGTTTCTTTAAATGTTTACTGCGACTGCAGTAATGTAAGGAGAGTGATGGAGGGAGACGAGTGTGATGTGATCGGCTGACAACTGAGAGTGTGGGAGGAGAAAGGTCTCAGAGGATTCTGTGTTTGTAGAGAGACGAGTGTGGAGAGTTTTTATGAGAGTCTGTATGACAGAGGAAGCAGTTGGAGTTTAGTTTAGCCTGTGTGGCTATGAGAAAGTTCAGCCTGTGTGGCTATATGAGCAAGAGAGTTCAGCCTGTGAGGCTATATAAAAGAGAGTGTTATCTATCATCCTATCAGAGTTGAGTTTTGGTGTATGACTGTGTGTCACGCCAAGCTTTGTAAGTTATATTTTCTTTCTTTAACAACAGTTCAAAATTACCCAGAAACCTATTTTGTTCTTTTATAAATAAATCATTGTTTAAACTTATCCCAGCAATCAGAACAGTCCTTCCATAGGGCCACATAGTCCTCTGAAGCGCTCAGACACTGGGTCATTCTACCAAAATAGAGAGATTTGGAATGTTTAATTCCTGGTGGCAGCGGAAAAATCTACTCAGTTCGTGTACACAGAGTGTGTTTTAAAGGAGAAACAGTCTCCCCGATAAGCAGGACACCACGCAGACCGTCAAGGTGAGTCCTCTCCGCTCTGGCTGGCAGCCGCTCTCCAGGGTCTCAGGTTAGCGGTCTTTCCACATCGTCTCTAACCCGATCCTTTTTTGAGCTGGAGGTGCCAGGGACTAACGTGTTCCCTTTGCCATTTCTGTCTCCACAGCTGCCCCAGGCAGGGTGCCTATCGAGCCCAGCGCCCAGCCAGCACAGGCAGTGACCCGGTGAGTTCTTTGGGTGGTTTCCTTTTTTTTTTTTAAACGTTTATTTTCAAATTTTACAACAAAAACAACAAAGTCAACTTATAAAAATACATAACATTCTTTGGAGATTTTTTTAATACATTTGTTTCTATCCAATTATCTAGTTTATGCCATCTTTTAAAAAATAAACTATCATCTTTTGCCAACAATATCATATTTAATTTGTCCATTTCCTTTATTTCCATATTTCTTGTGATTAACTCTTCTGTACTTGGTATTTTTTCCGATTTCCAACATTTTGCCAAAAGAATTCTGGAGCTCGTAAGAATATAAAGTATTATACATACATCATTAAATTTAATCCCCTCTGGTAATATGTAGAGTAAATAGGTTTCTGGTATCAAGTTTAGTTCCACTTCTAGTATTTCCGTTATTAGTTTTTGAACTACTTTCCAAAATGTTATTACTTTCTCGCATCTCCACCAAACATGGAAGTAAGTGCCTACATTTTTCTTACATTTCCAACAGGTACCCGATGCGTTTTTGTAGCATTTTACTATTTTATCTGGTGACCAGTGCCAACGATGGAGCATTTTGAAAATATTTTCCTTGTATGAAGTAGATTTTAATAGCTTTATTGGTTTCCGAGAAGATCGGCTCTTCCGCAAGAGGGGAGGGGTGTGTGTGTTGCTGCATGTTCCAACCGCCACTCCTGGCGGTTGTTTTCCCCACCCCTCTCGCCTCGACCAACGCTCCTTTCGGTCTCTCCGCCCCTCCCAGGAAGGTCTTCACCATCGACGACTTCGAGATTGGGCGGCCGCTCGGCAGGGGGAAGTTCGGCAGCGTCTACCTGGCCCGAGTCAAGGAGACGCAGTTCATTGTGGCTCTCAAGGTGCTTTTCAAGTCACACCTGGAGAAGGACGGCCTGGAGCATCAGCTGCGGCGGGAGATTGAGATCCAGTCGCACCTCAGGTGTGTGGTGGGCTTTGCGGGGTGGGGCCGGGAGAAGGATTCAAATGGGGCTTCCTTCAACCGGCTTGTACAAAGTTCTAGAATTAGGGGTCCCTAACGGTACAGAACGCCGGCTCAGAATAGCGTACATGATTAAAAGGATTGAACCCAAAGTGTTGGCATTGTGGCTTAGAAGTGGGTCTCTACGCCCAATTCGCCCACATGTGGTGGGGAATGTTAAAGAGGTTAGGGCATTATGGCAAAAGATTGTAAGGGTCGTCTTTGATTTATTCCAAGTTAATATAGAGATTAATAGAGATCTGCCTATTTCTGGAATACTGGGAAATAAGAAAGTGGAAAAGAAATAAACGGGAGTCATATGAAATTATGGTTTTAGCCGGGATCCCGGCTGTAATAGCATTGGGATGGAGGGGAGAAGCACAAATGGACAATGGAAAAATGGAATAATTATGTCTTTGAACGTGTACAATCAGATATATTTGCACAGATAATTACTGAAGAGACATGGGTGGAGAAATGTCAAAAGATCACAAATGGGGGGGGGATATAAGGAATGGGTGGTGGGGAAGGGTGTAAAGGGGGGGAAGCCAATCCAAATATTCAAATACGAATGAAAAATCTGTGCACATGGTTAAAAATATAAAGGTATTAAAAGAGGGAGGGGTAAAATGAATGTGTAATGATCAATGATATAAAGTTAAGAATATGTATATAAGTAAACAAAAAAATGTATAATATCCTTTTTAAGGTGTGGTGACCAGAATTGCACACAGTATTCCAGATGAGGTCGCACCATTGATTTATATAGCGGCATTTATATAACCAACCAAGTGGCTGCCGTGTTTGCACACATAGGAAGCAATGCTCCCTCTCGGCTGTGGAGCCTTGTGAGCAAAAATTCTACTTTGTGAGCTACTGGCATTCAAGTTGTGAGCGAGCGATTTGGCTCCTGCATAAATTAGTCTGCTCTGGAGCCATCCTTCCTGAGCTGAGACAAAAAATGCGTGAGCCGGAGGCTAAAAAACTGAGCTAGCTCACACTCACTCGGCCTGGAGGGAACACTGGTGGAGTCCAATGCTCCCTCTAAGCTGTGGAGTCCTGTGAGCAAAAATTCTACTTTGTGAGCTACTGGCATTCAAGTTGTGAGCGAGCGATTTGGCTCCTGCATAAATTAGTCTGCTCTGGAGCCATCCTTCCTGAGCTGAGACAAAAAATGCGTGAGCCGGAGGCTAAAAAACCTGTGAGCTAGCTCACATTAACTCTGCTTAGAGGGAACACTAACAGGAAGCCCAAGTGAAGGGGGGCAAGAGGACTAACAAGCACACAAGGAAAGATTCAGGTGGGTAGCCGTGTTGGTCTGAAGCAACAGAACAAAGTTTGAATCCAGTGGCACCTTCCAGACCAACAAAGTCCATTTTGCGCCTTACCTTGAGCAAACCCAAACTTGCCACTGAGTTTCAACCCCTAGCTTGGAGACTGCTGCCCCAGAGGATGGCTTTCAGTGTGTCTGCTGCCCCTTGGTGGTGGATCCCTTCCCATGCCCTTCCCTTCTCTGCAGACACCCCAACATCCTGCGCATGTACAACTACTTTGATGATAAGAAGCGAGTGTACCTGATCCTGGAGTACGCCCCTCGCGGGGAACTCTACAAGGACCTGCGGAAGTACCAGCGGTTTGATGAGACAAGAAGCGCCACGGTGAGCTGCAGGGTGTTTGGGGACCTTGAGTGGGCCTGTAATGATTTCATGTTTTGGTGTGTGTGTTTCTTTAAATGTTTAGTTTGACTACAGTACTGTAAGAAGAGTGATAGGGGGAGACAAGTATGATGTGATGGGTGGATGACTGAGAGTGTGGGAGGAGGGGTGTCTATGAGGTGATTCTGTGCCTGAAGCTTGAAGAGAGAACATGGTCTGTGTGACTATGGAATGCTGAGTCTAATTCTGTGTGGGTAAGACCAACAATTTAGTCTGTGTGAGTAAGAGAGTTGATTCTATTCAGTGCGAATAAAACAAAGAGACTAGCCTGTGTGGCTATATGTATGAGTGTATAAGCCCGTCAGAGTGGAGTTTTGGGAGTTTGAGAGAGTGCTTGTGGCACCAAGCTTTGCCAGTTATATTTACAAGTTCCTTTCGTCAGCAACTGTTCAAAATAACCAGAAACCTATTTTGTTCTTTATTAAATAAATCAATTTTTGTTTAAACTTATCCCAGAGATCAGTACAGTACTTCCTCAGGGCCACGTAGTCCTCTGAAGTGCCCAGACCCTAGGTCATACTACCAAAAGAGAGAGATTTGGATTTTTTAATTCCTGGTGGTAGCAAAAAACTACCAAGTTTATGTACTCGGAGAATGTTTAAAGGTAAAACCATCTCCTCAATAAGCAAGGATGCCACAGGGCCGGCGTGGGGCCTGAAGGTCCTCTTTCTGGGGGGATGTTGGTGTTTGCAGGGGCCACAAGGAAGGGGCTCTTTGGGACTAGGCCGGCCGTGGGCCAGGGAGGACAGTCCGGCAGGGTACGGCTTCAAGCACCCCCCTAGCGCAGGGCATGTGAGAGTCAGCTGACCCCAGAGGCTCCGGCTTGGTCAGCCAGTCTGTCGGTCAGGCCCAGCTGGTATTTGTTTTATGTACCATTATTTATAAGTCTGTCCTTCTCGCTGAAACTCAAAGTGGTTTATGTAGTGCAAGTTAAATGCAATCAACTGGATGGAACATCCAAGAAACTCCAGAGGATAGGAATCGGTGACCGGGCGTGGGAGCGGTTGTGAGGTCCAGGACCATTGTAGACTAGAGAGAGAGGAAGCGGACCCCGGCCCTTCAACCCAGTCCCTGCTTGGGAGGAGAGACCCTGCCCCCCCCTCAAGGAATCTCTAACTTTGGAGAGTCTTTGGGGAGAGGGCTGCTGAACGGTGTGTGTGTGTGTGTGTGTGTATGGCTGCCTTTTGTGCTGGACCAGGGGTGGCCAAACTTGCTTAACGTAAGAGCCGCATCGAATAAATGTCAGAAGTTTGAGAGCCGCAAGATGTGACCAAATATTGCACACACGATTTTATTAGAAAATATGCAAGTTTGATTTTTATTAACATTAAATGAGACTGCCAAAAAGAAAAACAAACGGGGTAGCAGATATTGTCCAATAATATTTGTTTGCTAATATTTATTTGTCTAAGAGGGAGAGAGAGAGAGGTGGAAAAAAAGAATGAAAGAGATGGAGAGAGGGAAACAAAAAAAGCAAATAGATGGGGGAGGGAGGGAGAAAAAGAGAAAGGTGGAAAGAAAGCAAATAGATGGGGAAGAAGGGAGAAAGGGGGAAAGAGAAAAACAGAAAGTAAATAGACGGGGAGGGAGGATGGAAGAAAGGAAGAGGAAGAGAAAGTTGGGAAGAATGAGAGGTGGAAAGAAAGCAAATACATGGGGAGGGAGAGGTGGAAAGAAAGCAACTTTAACTTTAAATGCGTCCTCCAAGGCCCCCCTCTCCCCACACTGGCTGATGGGAAAGGCCTCCACCTGAGACCCTGGAGAGCCGCTGCCAGTCTGAGCAGGCAAGACTACTCCCGATGGACTATTGGTCTGGTACAGTATATAGCAGGGGTGGCCAGACTGCGGCTCGGGAGCATACGGCTCTTTCATTCATATTGTGCCGCTTCCAGCAAGGGCGGCTCAGGAAGCGAAGGGGAGGCAGGCCTCCCCAGTCAGTTTTCCCTTCCCCAGCCAGTGTTCCCCTCCTTGGGTAGGCTTGAGCGGAGAAAGAAACCAACTTTAACTTTCAATGCATTCTCAGAGGCATCCCCCCCCCACACCTTTCCACCTCTCTTTCTCTTTTTCTGTCTTTCTCCCTTCCTTTCCCTCTTTCTCTCTCTTCCTTCCCTCCCCCCTCCCTCCCCCATCTGTTTGCTTTCTTTGTTTCTCTCGCTCTCTTTCTTTCCACCTCTTTCATTCTTTCCACCACCCCCCTCTTAGACAAATATCATTAGCAAACAAATATAACTGGACGAATCAGTTTATTTATTATTATTGTTTCTGTTTGTATCCTGCCTTGCCGGACACGCTGGCTCAAGGCGGCTAACAGGATTAAAATATCATAGAACGATACAGAGTTAAAAGAGTTAGAAATACAATACAAAAGTAAACAGCATCAGTTTACAGATTAAAAAAAAAGACAAGCTAATGATGGCGGTATTCCAACTCAACCAAATCAATATCTGTTTTTACCCCTTCTGTTTTTATTTTTGGCAGTCTCGTTTAATGTTACTCAAAAGCAGATTTGCGTATCTGTCAATAAAAGCGTGTGTGCGATATTTGTTCGTGTCTTGCGGCTCTCAAACGTCTGACGTTTATTCTGTGTAGCTCTTACGTTAAGCAAGTTTGCCCACCCCTGATATATGGCAGCTTGGTGTCCGTCCCCAGCAGAGGTCTTCCACTCCACCTACAGCTTGTCGTTTAAACTGGAGAGTCCAGTGATCTTTCGTTTCAGGGTGCTGGTTCCTACCTTTAAAGCCCTTTATGGCCAGGGACCTACATACCTGAGGGACCGCCTTTCCCCACATATTCCCCAGAGAGCACTGCGTTCAGGGGCCCAGAACCGACTGGTCCTCCTAAGGAGGCCAGGCTGGGGACAACCAGGGCCGTAGGCCTTCTTGGTGGCGGCTCCATCCTGGTGGAACGAGCTCCCGGAGGAGATCAGGGCCCTGCGGGACCTATCACAGTTCTGCAGGGCCTGCAAACAGGCTTTTAAAATATTTTTTAGAGACGTCAATGTTGGATCAGGCCAGAGGTCCATCCAGTCCAACACTGTGTCACACAGTGGCCAGAAATACCAGTGCCATCAGGAGGTCCACCAGTGGGGCCAGGACACCAGAAGCCCTCCCACTGTTGACCCCCCCCCCCAGCACCAAGAAGACAGAGCATCACTTGCCCCGGAGTCCCTATCTATACCTTGTGGCTAATAGCCACTGATGGACCTCTGCTCCATATGCTTATCCAATTCCCTCTTGAAGCCGTGCATGCTTGTAGCCGCCACCACTTCCTGTGGCAGTGAATTCCGTGTGTTAATCACACTTTGAGTGAATCACTGTTTTGGAGCCGCCGCGCCTATGAACGAGTAGGACAAGAGGCCCGTCACCCTGGAATGTACATTAACAGCCTGTACCAGTAGCCGGGAGGTACTGAAAGCATCTATAGAAGACCTGCGAGCAGCCCATGGGAAGAGAGAGAGCTGATGGAAGCCATCATGAACTCTGCCATCATAATATAGCCCTTTAGGGAATTATAAGTGTTTTAATACTCTTTTAAATGTTTTACTATACTATCAAATGTTTCTGCTGATTTTATGTAAGCGGGCCTAGGCTGGGCGGGCGGGGGTATAAACCTGAATAAACAAATAAAATCTTCAGCGTGCCGAGAACTTGAACCGCAGTCCACATCCTAATCTCCAGTGGGGGTCGACTCTGCGTCGGCTTGCACGGTTGATTTCTCATGCCTTTCCACAGCGAGGACACTGTCTTTCCAGGCACTCAGTCGACACCTCTTTGCTTTTACCCTGGCAGTACATGGAAGAGCTGGCCGATGCGCTCATCTACTGTCACGGGAAGAAAGTGATCCACCGTGACATCAAGCCAGAGAATCTGCTGATGGGGATGCGGGGGGAGCTGAAGATCGCTGACTTTGGCTGGTCGGTGCACGCCCCCTCGCTCAGGTGAGGCGCCCTCCAGGCTGGAGGCCGGGCACGGCAGGCGTTCTCTCTCTCTGGGGAGATCGGCCAAATCGCGACCCTTTTGGTCTGCCAAAGGGCCTGTTGGCTTGATCTGAAGGCCTTTTCCTGACACTTTTCTGGACACCGCCTCTGAGTGATAAAATGTTTAACGTAGGGGGTCCCGTGGTTGTGTCAGTATTTTGCGGGGCACGTTTGTTTTTTTCCGTTGGGTCTTTACTCCGTGAATGTACCGCTGAGCTCAGCTGCTGTGAGCTGATTGGAAAAGTGGGGTGAAATGTTCAAAATGAGTTGTCGTGGCTGCTGTGGGGCAGGACTGTGGCTCAGTGGCCGAGCATCTACTTAAGAACGTAAGAGAAGCCACTGTTGGATCACGCCAGTGGCCCACCCAGTCCCACACTCTGTCACACAGTGGCCAGAAATACCACGTGCCGTCAGGAGGTCCAGCAGTGGGGCCAGGACACTAGGAGCCCTCCCACTGTTGCCTCCCCCCCCCCCAAAGCACTAAGAACAACAGAGCATCCCTTGCCCCAGACATAAGAACATAAGAGAAGCCAATGTTGGATCAGGCCAACGGCCCATCCAGTCCAACACTCTGTCACGCAGTGGCCAGAAATACCAGGTGCCGTCAGGAGGTCCAGCAGTGGGGCCAGGACACTAGGAGCCCCTCCCACTGTTGCCCCCACCCCCAAGCACCAATAACACAGAGTATCCCTTGCCCCAGAATGAGAGTTCCTATCCATACCTTGTGGCTAATAGCCACTGATGGACCTCTGCTCCATATGTTTATCCAATTCCCTCTTGAAGCTGTCCATGCTTGTAGCCACCACCACCTCCTGTGGCAGTGAATTCCAGTGAAGACGTCCTTCCTTTTATCTGTTCTAACCCGGCTGCTCAGCAACTTCATGGAGTGCCCACGAGTTCTTGTACTGTGAGAAAGGGAGAAAAGTACCTCTTCCTCTACCTGCTCTATCCCACGCATAATCTTGGCGTGCGGGAGGGTTTGATCCGTGTAGGTGTGGCTGAAGATCTCAGCTGGAGACCCTGGAAGGCCACTGCCAGTCCGAGTAGACAATACTGACATGGATATGGACCAAGGTTCTGTTTCCTGTGTAAGGCAGCTCCCCTGTGTTTGCACAAGCGACCCAGGCGACAGTCTTGGCTGAAGAAGGGTGGTCTGTTGGGCTCCATGAGGTTTAATTCCCGCTCCCTGCTTTAGGAGTAGAGATGTGAAGGCCCGGAAAAATTCGGAAAAAAACTGTTTTTTCTCCGTTTTTTTCCTGAAGGTTTTTTTGGTTTTTTTTGGAAAAATTGAAAAAAGAAAAGAAAATTAACATATATATATATGGTATCAGATTGATCTAATTTCTGTGCACTGAGGACAAGCAAGTCCTAGGTTACAAACTTAACTCTCCAATGCAAGAACAAGATGCATTTCTTCCTTTAGGAGGTGCGATTGTCAGAAGAAAATAAAAAGGTTTCAGTTTTGTTTTTGCATGTGGGTGGGTATTCTGTTTGTAATAACTGTTTGGATACACTATATTTTTAATAGGCTAGTTGTGATAATTTCATGCCAAATAAAAATGTCCATAGTCATATTTTATGTTCCTAAAGTAACAGAATGACTTTCAATCTAGAAAAGACAAAAGAAATGCTAATGTAGCATTTTTTCAATTTTTCCGAAAATTTCCGTTTTTCCCCAAAAAACCCCGGGTTTTTTCCCGAGCTTCAAAATTTCCAGAAATTTTACATCTCTATTTAGGAGGAAGACCATGTGTGGCACCCTGGACTACCTGCCTCCCGAGATGATCGAAGGCAAATCCCACGACGAGAAGGTCGACGTCTGGTGCATCGGAATCCTCTGTTACGAATTCCTGGTGGGGCACCCGCCTTTCGAGAGTCCCTCTCACTCCGAGACGTACCGTCGCATTGTAGCGGTGAGAGCTGGCACATTCCTTGGGCAGGTTGGCCCTCAAGGGTAAGAAGGAAGTCAAACAAAGGGGCCAATGTGAAAAACTTAGTTGAAACTTACAATATACAAAAATGCATGTATTTATTAGGAAGACAGTTAAAAGCATATAAGGGCCCAATGAAAGCCTCGTAAACAAGTAAAAGCGGCCTAAACACAAGGGCCAAGACACACGACCTGACGCGTTTCCACCCTATTGGGCCCTGATATGTTTTTAACTGTCTTTCTAATAAATGCATGTGTTTTTGTATATTGTAAGTTTCCACTAGGTTTTTAACACTGGCCCTTTATCAGACTTCCTTCTTAGCCTGGTGGTTCTTGATTCCAGTTTTTGGGTCATGTTTGTTTTCCCCTCCCTGTGCCTTACAGGTTGGCCCTCAGCCAGTTTGGTGTCGAGGTTAAGTGCGCGGACTCTAATCTGGGAGAACTGGGTTTGATTCCCCCACTCCTCCACTTGCACCTGGCTGGATGACCTTGGGCAAGCCGTAGTTCTCTCAGAGCTGTTCTCTCAAGGCTATAAAGGGGAAGCCAACAGGGGTATACTTGAAAAGTTGGAAAGAATGTGCTCATGGTTGAAAATGTAATTTGAATAACATGATGGTGGCCACCTTGGGGGGGGGGAGGGATAAAATAGGGGAAAAGAAGTATCAAAAAGTTGGAACTAAAGTGTAATGTAATAACAATATTGGGATACAATTAAAAAATTAGTAAAAAAAAAAGCTGTTCTCTCAAGGACAGTTGTGGAGAGAGCTCTCTCAGGCCCACCGACCTCACTGAGGGTGTCTGTTGTGGGAAAGGGGGAGGGAAAGGAGTTTGTTTAGCTGCTCTGAAACACCTTTAGGTAGTGAAGGGCGGGGTACAAATCCAATCTCTTCTTTTCTTCTTCTTTGTGAGCCACCCTGGGCCTCTAGGCCTGGGCAGATGGCATGGTTGGGCTCTGCCCGACGGGGGCCCAGCTGTATCCCACAAAGTGTCCGAGTGGAGGGGAACGGGTAGGACCAGTGGGCAGTGTTCCCTCTAAGGTGAGTTAGTGTGCGCTAACTCAGTTTTTTAGCCTCCAGCTCACAGATTTTTGTCTCGGCTCAGGAAGGATGGGGCTCCAGAGCAAACTAATTGATGCGGCAGCCAAATCGCTCGCTCACAACTTTAAGGCCAGTCGCTCACCAAGTAGAATTTTTGCCCAAGAGACTCCATAGGTTAGAGGGAGCGTTGTAGGTGGGCCTTCTGCTCTTTTGTCTGTGGGCTTTCCGGTCTCTCTAGTTCTGAGCTCTTTGCCTTCCCACCTGTAAGTGAACCTGGTCTTCTGTGCTCCGCCCAACCTAAAGCCCGCCCTTCAGGCCCACCCGCCTCCTAACCCTCGACCCCACAGCCTTCAGCTTGCAAGACCCGAGCGAGGCTGTTGAGGAGAGGACGTTTCAGAGGTCATGAATTCATTGGGTCACCATGATAGGTCAGGGGCAACCTGATGGCACACCTCCCTTCATGCCCCTTCCATCTGGAAGGGGGGAGGCCTGTGCCCGTTCTCCCCGTTGCCGCCTGAAACCCACACTTCCAGGAAATCCTGACCTTGCTGTGGGAGCCAGGCCAGAACCACCCTGGGACAGCCCAGTTCCGAAACCTTATCCGATGCTCCGAGGCAGTCTCTTGGCCCAGCTTAATTTGCGTTTGTCGGTATGCAGGGAAGGCAAGCAATATGAAATACCTGCACTGGCTTTTGGCGGACCTGCCAAAAAAGCATATGTGGTTTTTTGGGGTTTTTTTTGCAGCTTTGACCAGGATGGCCCAGCCTAACCCGATCTTGTCAGATCTCAGAAGCTAAGCAGGGTTGGCCCTGGTTAGTACTTGGGTGGGAGACACCCCGCAAGGAAGTCCAGGACTTCCCCTCAGAGACAGGAAATCGCAAACCACCTCTGAACAGCTCTTGTTTGGCGTCGTGGTGAAGTGCGCGGACTCTAATCCAGGAGAACCGGGTTGGATTCCCCCACTCTTCCACTTGCAGCTGCCGGATGACCTTGGGCCAGCCATAGTTCTAACGAGCTGTCCTTGAAAAGGCAGTTCTGGAAAGAGCTCTCTCAGCCTCACCTACCTCACAGGGTGTCTGTTGTGGGGAAGGGAAAGGAGTTTGTAAGCCGCTCTGAGACTCCGAGTGAAGGGCGGGGCATAAATCCAGTCTCTTCCTCTTCTTCCTTCTCCTCCTCCTCTTCCTCCTCTTGTCTTGCAAAAGCCCCACAGGGGCACCCTAAGTTGGCTGTGACTGGACAGTAGTTTCTACCTCCACCTTTTAGCACCCCATTTCCCAGATATGCCGTGATTATAAAGAAGATGTGGCTCTGGAGGGTGTAGGATATAGGACTCCCAGAACAGGGATATTTTCTACTCCCCTCGGCCCTAGAGGAAGCCCACCAGTCCCTGTTGAACAGGGCATCAGTGTTGTCCATAACCGCTTAGCCTTTGGGGGAAGTAAGGGCTTCGGAAAGCTTGTTGGCATTCTACACCGATGACCCCATATATCTGTCAGGGCTCGGATTAGCAGCCGGGCACCCGTCAGCTGTGCCGGGCACCCTTGCCTAGCTGTGTAAATGCAGGGAGGGGTGTCCCAGTGCCCAAAGCGCCTCACTTGTATTGCACACAACTCCACCAATGTTCC